ATCAGCCTGCCAGCACACAGTCACATCTAACACAATCAGCCTGCCAGCACACAGTCACATCTAACACAATCAGCCTGCCAGCACACAGTCACATCTAACACAATCAGCCTACCAGCACAGAAACTAGAGCCATCATATATATTGGCTGTCTCTCTGAAGGGACTGTCTGTGCCACTGACATCATGGTGGTCCCTGCTGATTACCACAGGACCCTGCAATAGAAAGATTATACTTAATTACAGGCAACTACATCCATCTTTATGTCTTTAATGCAATTCCTGACATGAAGACTTAAGGGGGCTAAGGTGGAAAGATAACAATAGGCAAGACCTGTTCTTACTGCAAGAAGACAGTACTAAGGCAGATAGCTACACTTAGTTGGTATTGGGGGGGATGGGGGGGGGGGAGGGGGGGGGGGAGAGGCACATTCACAATGAAACTGTCATACCAGGATTGTCATACCAGGATACAGATTGACCTAACACTGTGGTGTATCTGCAGAGTAGGATTCATCTACCCAGTACCAATGTTTCATTGTGAAAGCACCCTTGGATATTATGCATGTCTTCTGTGCTTATACACATCATCAGATTACAATGTGTTTGTGAAACCATTCTATGTGCTCTCCTTATTATGAAGCCCATATTTTCCTTAGCTGAATGTTGTTCTAGTTCACAGGTATCATACACAGTAACACATCATGCTATGTCTTACCTGGATAGCTCCATCCTTGATGGCTTTGTTAAAAGCGACTGCAATGGTGGATCGTCCATTTTGGTCTGCATATAGGATTCTTGCTTGTGATCCCACAACCTGACATCAATTAACTCTATATTACAGGTAAACTGAGACAAAATATGTATATATAATACAATAAACTATATATTACAGGTAAACTGAGACAAAATATGTATATATAATACAATAAACAACGTGTAATACGTACTTTAAAGAAAACTTACTTCTAATGAAGGACATAGTTAAGGGTCAGTTTTAAAAAATGGCAAGTGAGGATAATTTTCACTACAATACTGCACATTTAAGTTTCACTTTCACACAACCTTCCTTACTACTTCTAATTTTCACCCTAATTCCTGAGGGGTGGGGGGGGGGTGGGGAGGGGGGACCCCCCTTTCAGGAAATCCTGCATCTACTCACCAGTTTGTGTTGGGCAGCCTCTTTAATCCACCGTATGTTATCTCTATACTGATATCCCCCCTCCCTCCTTCTCTCTTATTCCCCCCCCCCCCCCCCCCCCTTAATAAAACCCCGGGTCCACTAATTCACTGACCAGTTTGTGTTGGGCAGCCTCTTTAATCCACCGTATGTTATCTCTGTACTGCATTGCAACTGCCTCTGGGACTGAATCACATGAAACATGATAAAACCTTTTTCATTAAATATTAAAAGTGGGAAATAAAGCACTAGTTGATAAGCCAATAGATGAAAAGTGTCAAGATCAAAAACATATCTAGTAGCTAATGAACTGGTAGGTCAGATGTGACATGTTATTAAATAATAACAGTTAAAACTTGAATTGTGTCTAAGTTGAATAAGTAGCAGAGGCAAACCTGGCCAGTTCACTTAAAATGGGTAAAATATGACACACACATGGACTGTATAGATACAAGCTGTTTTAGGTGTACTGTTCAGAATTATATCAGTTTACTCACAGATTCTGCAGTGTTTTACTTATCTTATTCATTTGAATCAGTATGAAAACATAATGAAAACGAACAGAAAACAAAAGGTAGAAACATGTCTTGAAAAAAAAAAAAAAAAAAAGAGAGAAAAAATAAATAAATGAGTCACAATAAGTAAAATGGTCCCCCTACCCCCCTGGTCGACGATATCCTCCATGACAGCAGCTGCTATGTTATCTGTGGTTTCTAAGTCACTGGGTTCACAAGATGTACACACCCATCTAGAAATAAATACAGCATAATAGTAAAGTCAAAGTGTGCTGAAATCAAAGTCTGAACTATCATCTAATATTTGTAAAAAAGATGATTATATTTAAAAAATTAATCACTGAGGAAAACAGAATGTTAGGGCTAATAAAAATGTCTAATGGAGATAATCAAAAATACCAGTATTGTCGCAACACAATGGTACTGTCACAGCTAACACAATGATATCATCACAATTAACACAATGACACCGTCACCTCTGACACAATGACACTGTCACCTCTGACACAATGGCACTGTCAAAGCTAACACAATAACATGGCCTCACTGATCATATTCATACAAACACCACATCAAACACAATGGACAGACATAAAGCTGTAATTACCTGAAGGGTCCAAATCCCAGAGAGAAGATGTCTCCCATAATATCCTGTACATAGGACGGGTACCTGAACCTCACACTCAGCCCTCCTGAGTCTTTGATCACATCAGCACCTAGTCAAGTATATAACACCTCAGCAGTAACACCAGGATGCTTTAAATGACCCCAACACAAGTTTCCCGCAGGATCTTATAAGAGATATATCCTAGATAGGAATCCTGTAGGAAGTCCTATAGAGAGAATCCTGTAGGATTCCTATGGAATCTCATAAAGTCCTGTAGGACACCCGTGGGAAATTTCCATAAGGGGATGTACATTTCACTAGCCACTTTTGGTAACATTTGACATAGCAGTGACTAGACAAAGGCAAGGAAATAAGATTTAAAATAATTTTCTTGAGTATATATATATATATATATATATATATATTTTTTTTTTTTTTTTTTTTTCTCATCTATTAACCATTAGCTGAACCATTTGCAAGGGTGTCAACATCAGGGTTCTTCAGTATAATTGTATTCATTTATAAACATATACAGTCCATGCTAATAATCAATATCTTTAACAACTCTAAGAAAGATAACAACTTTGCCCAAAAATTAAAAAAAAATGATCAGAAAAAAATATAAAAACAGCTCCTCATCCTCTGTTACAGGCATACATTGCATGCTAAACCTTTTTATAAATATTCCTTAAAGAAATAAACACTAATTTTCACTCATCAAATACTTTTGAGTACTGACATTTCCAAGAAAATCAAAGTAGTGCTACAAATGTCCAGTAGCTATTGTGTTTCTTAAACAAATACCTGCTCTTGATGCCTCCAGGAGGAAGGCATTTCCGTAATCAAAGAAATACATTCCGGCCTCCGACAGTCTGTTAATGGCTGCCACCTGCCTGCGCAAGCTAAAACACCGAGGGGGAAAAGGAAAACTCAACAACATACAGAGACAAAGAAGATAACTCAATATCTGAAAGATGCACATTAATAAACAGAGAAAATCAATGAAGACAAACAAAAAGAAATTCAATATTACAAATCAAGTAGATAACAGTAGATTATATAAAATACAATAGGATGAGAAAACTTATTATTTTATCATTAAATAAGACATCAAATAGCAACATTGTTCAAATAAGACATCAATTATAAAACTCAGTTCCTAATACAGTATATGTACCTGGCATGCTGTGTCCTAGTATTGGAATTTGACAACACCAATGCTTGTAAATGAAAATAAGGAAACAGGAAAGTACTAGCAACAAGACAGCATACAATAAGTAACACAGTATTAGCATCATGATGCATATGTTTGCAGGTAAAAATAAGCTTGGGATAATTCTTAGTCATTTACCCACCTTTCCTGGACTAGGTTTTTAAACCTCACAGGGTCCGAGTGCATCATCATTCTGCTGTCTTCATAGCTCAACTGGAATAGAATTAACACTGGCAAGTGTATAACTGTGTCCCCTGACACCCTCCCCCCCCTCGACTACTGAAACTAAGGCTGCACTCAGAACAGTGGACCAACTAATCCGAGGGTCAAATATGGCTGACACACTTGTGCTCCTTCCCCACGGGGAATATATTCAGTTCTGTTAGCGGATTAGATGGCAAGCAATTAAGTGGGGCACCATATTTGACCTGCCAATTAGTGAAACCACTGTTCTGAATGCAGCGTGAGTGGAAGCTCTTATCTTATAAACAAATACTTTGATACAGTTTCTGCCAAATCCAGAAGTCTGGAATATCACTGAATGGCTTTTGAGGGAGGGAGACAGACTGAGAGAAAATGAGAGTGAGATAGGCCATGAGAGAGAGAGAGAGAGAGAGAGAGAGAGAGAGAGAGAGAGAGAGAGAGAGGGGGGGGGGTCCAGAGAAAGCTCACCTGTACAGGGTAGTAACCACCAAGGAATGGGTTGTGACATGATGTCTGGTCAGACCCTATGTCTACCAATAGATCTCCTGTGCTGTCATACTCATACACTAATCTTTCCCTGTATATTAAAATGATGTAAATATTATATATTTATATGATAGCTTATGTCTACCAGTAGATCTTCTGTGCTGTCATACTCATACACTAGTCTTTCCCTGTATGTAAGAATGATGAACTTAAATTATGTACTAGTAGATCATACCCGTTGTCTGTAATATTTTCATTAAAATGATTGATTTCTACCATTACTACAGCAAGAGAGTGGCTGTACTCCAATTATTGTCTATTGACAATCATAAAAAATTGACAGCCTTACCACAAGTCCACAATGTTTCCATGGTAACCAATACTGACTGCCAGTTGGTCTTGTCTTGCATGGCGTATTTTGCGGATGCAGTCCTCTAAACTGTCTGCGATCTCCATGAGCCATCCCTGGTCATAGCGCTTACGCAGGGCCTCCTCACTTACCTCATTAACAACATCATAAATTATATATATAAACAGTTCACTTTCTGCTTGGAAGTATCACTTTTAATTAAGAAAAAGATTATATGACAATGATATAAGTGCCATCTTCAAGATGGCTGATAACTTCCTTTGTAAGCTACTCACACCCCCACATATCACACTCTTTAGAATAACAGAATCAATAACATGACAAGGAAATAAAATCTTGTTGGTATCTACTTAGCAATGACACCCTTACAGAAACATATAGCTACATGTCCTTAAAATAACAGAATATAGATTACATGACAATAACACATGCAGTAAAATCCTGCTGATGTCTAACTCAGCAATGGCACACACAGAGACAGTCTTAAGAATAACAGATTATAGATTACATGACAATAACATCTTGTTGATAACCACCTCAGCAATGACACCTACACACAGACACAGTCTTAGAAATACCAGAATACAGATTATATGACAATAGTATAATATTTTATTGATATCTACCTCAGCGATGACCCCGACACAACCACAGATGACGGCTGCCTTGGGCTGCGCTCCACTCATTCCTCCCAGTCCAGACGTTACGAACACGCGTCCTCGCAAATCACTGCTGCCAATATGGCGGCGACCAGCATTCAGTACTGTCAACTGTAAGAAAACTTCTGCTCAAGGAACTATTTTGGGATTTATTTATCTGTTGCATACTTCAAACAGAAAAATGTTATGTCATAACATGAGAAACAATATCCAAAGTGAATTACTATACATCTACATACAAATATGTAAGAAGTTGTAGGCTTTATTTTTTCTTTTTTTTCTTTAATTCTTATCATTAATCTTTTACTTTTTTGTAAAGTAATAAAAAACTTCCTTCTGTCATTAATTCAATAAATGTGTGATTCAACTGTTGGTTTTTAGTTTTCCAAAACTTTATAAACAATTAAAAAAATTTATATTATCTTTTATCTATATGCAGCTAAATTTGCCCTCTTTGTCGTCAATATTGAAAAATAGCTTTAGTAACAGTTAGACAAATGGAAAACTCAGGTAGACCCATGACCTTCTTAAAAGTTTGTCTTATAGTTGGTTTGAAATTTTTATCTTAGAATCTTATATACATGTATTTCTGAACCATATCAGTACTCACAGTTGTCCCATGGACAATGCCTTGGGGTCCTATGTAACAATAACTGCCTGCTGTCATCTGACCATACCTGGTATAACAATAACAACAATAACATTACCATAACAATAACTGCCTACTGTCATCTGACCATACCTGGTATAACAATAACAACAATAACATTACCATAACAATAACTGCCTGCTGTCATCTGGTATAACAATAACATTTTAACACATTTAATACATATGTCAGCTTATTTACAATGGTACATTTAATAAGGATAAATTCTTAGAAGTGATCTACATAACATTTACATAAAAAATAAATTTTCATCAGACAAAAAAAAGTAATTTTCTCCTCCTACAAAATTTTTGCTTTAACCGTCTCAGCACTTGGATGTTGATGCATGGTGGTTGGTATGCTGGCCTTGTAACACGCAGTCTACATAACTGACGTTGTGATATGTCATGGCTGTCATTACATACCATATCTTCTTCAAAACTTACATGGTGACACCCAAGGCAAACAATTTCTCGTACATCTCTCTGGATGAGTAATTAGGAATCACCTGCAAATAGTGACATACCACATTAGAGAACAAAAGTAATTATTCTACAATTACTGGCGCTTTTCTTTCAAATATCCTACATTTCTAATAATGCAAAAGATGTTGAGGATTATAAAACATCACAGAGACACTAGTTATCATGCACACATGCACGCGAACACTCACTCACTCACCCACACACACCAACATACTCACACACACACAACATACTCACACACACCAACATACTCACTCACACACACTCACACATGCACGCACGCACACACACACATGCACGCACGCACACACGCACGCATGCACACATACACACACACACACACACACACACTCACATGTCCCCTTTCAACTGAATGCATTTGCTGAAGTCATCCCTCACCATTCCATTAGTAATGACCACCCTGGGGGCCGAGGTGTGGCTGGGGAACAACCCCTGGGGGTGGCCTGAGCACATGACAAGTGTCTGGTCGTCTCTCATGATGGACAGGTAGTGCATCACCAGCAGGAACTGTGGGGGAAAAGATGAAAAATGTAGAAGCTTTACAAAGGATGTTGCCATGATTCAACTCAATCTTTATTACACAACAATCAAATACTGTCTTATATGATATCAACAGTTGACATTTGCAAGCAAAAATATTAGCATTGTTACATAATCACAAATCCTGATCCTCATTGATTAGTCTTAAGGTAATGTGGTCAATTATTCTATTAAGTTAACCTCGTCAGCTCATTGCCATTCTGGATCTCCATGGCCACCACATGAGCCAGATAAATCATCAATTAGTTTTCAGTGTTCTTTTTTATTATTTTTATTTATCATCAACATTACCTGTGCCCAGTTGGAGAACACCTGTCTGTTGCCACCGTAGGTCACCAACTCGTGCGGGAACTGCGCCACGCGAGGGTCAAGGTTGTTCATGATCATGTGCATGATGGCAGCGGCCTGGCGCGAGCGTGCAGGGTATTCATCTATAGGATATGCCCTGGTAATATAATACACTGTAGGTCAGCAGAATTTTAATGCTGTGTTTGTTTTTCTCTAAGCACTTGGTATGGTGATAGAAAATGTGTTAATATGGCCCCTAATTTGTCTTAAAAACCAAATCGAGCCTTTGCAAATTTTTTAAGTAAAGACTAATTTTAAATATAAAGTTTTGTGCCATCTGGTGATGATATTATTTGAATGTGCTGCCACTCACAGTGTGATTAAAGTTTTAATTTTACCTCATTTCTATATCTGGCCGGAAGCGGTACATATAGATGTGTCCATAGTCTCTCAGTTCCTGGGCAAACTCTGGCGCCAGTGTGGCATGCAGCTCTGGAGGGAAGTAGCGCAAAGCATTCTGTAGGGCAAGCTAAAATGGGAAGATGTACAATGTATACTGTATGCACTGTGAATATGAGCTAAAATGGGAAGATGTACAATGTATACTGTATGCACTGTGAATATGAGCTAAAATGGGAAGATGTACAATGTATACTGTATGCACTGTGAATATGAGCTAAAATGGGAAGATGTATGGACTGTGAATTTGATTCTAACATTCCTACTACAGGTTCAGAGAACAATCAACAGATACTAAATCACCATGGTTTGAATTCCTGCATGATACCAGTTACTGGAAAAATTAAATGTTTTAATAATTACAATTTCCAAATACATTGGTACACTGCCACTGGTACTTACGGTACTAGTACTTGTAATATGAATCATACATTATGTCATAAGGCCCAAAATATCTGCAAAAATTACTTGATATTATGAACTAGGCTCCCAAACTTTTCTCTACAATACCAATATTTTAGTCTCAGTGACTGAGGTACCCAGTAAGATATGTAATGTTGGCACTTGGCAAAAATAAGACTTCACAGTTCACTGAAGAAGGCGGGGTTTTCAAAACAAGTCGTGTTGGATCCTCACCCTCTGTTCATCTTGCGTTAAGTTAGGCGTCCTAACAGGTGCGTGCGGCACTGTCTCGTCCCGTGGTCTCACCCTGGGTGGTGGGTTCACTGGTAAACCGTCACAAATCTCCTTTAAGCTACCCATGAAGAAGGACACGCACTCCGTTACTACACGATAGCGTCTTGCTGGGTCAAGGCCGTTCTTGAAACCAGAAACGGAAGTAGTATTTTAATTAGATAATTTGCCGGCGGGTGCGGAATGCCAGCGTGCTTGGCACGGGCTTTACTGGTTTGCATTTATACTCCTGCCACCAGACATAAACTGCGCGCAACAGGATGACTATCAAGGAAAACCCAGGAAATGGTGAGTATAAAGCGAAAATGGAAGTTCTCAATTTGCTGATTTTTTTGCCTAACTTGGTGCATTCCGGTGAGCGGCGAATAACGCGAAGCGACCGGAAGTGGCAGGAATGCAACAACACGTCGACAGCAGTCGACGCTGATCTACGTCTCTGTTGGTAAAGCTTTAATTATGGTTAAACAGGGGATCGCAGAGACTCAACAGTCAGGTGAGAATTTGTTATATTATTCTGAGATTCACGGAAGACTTCTTCAATCATAAAATGGCCTTACATAATCTACAGGTTTCACCGTGCTTGTGGCAGTTGTGTTTGCTTAGTTGCTTGTTGGTTCAACTTGCGCCGTGGACACGTTGCTTTTCAATGTTTACAGCACTTTTGGTAGCACAATCGTCTTGCTATAAAGCATTGTGCGACTCGTCAGGGTGAGGTGTATGAGGTGATCACGCAGATTATGCCCAGAGACGACCGGCGTTAGTTGACAAGCAGCGAGATCAATTTGCCCTGGGTTCACTTCAGTTGCCATGCGGGCACCAGTAGGGTATACTGGGAGCACTTAATATGTCTTTAGCAGTGGCTGTGTAGACTATTAATTATAACACTANCAGTAGTAATAAAAATTAAGTTTCCGTTGTACGACGTTTTAAAAACGTCAAAACGTTTTAATCCCTATACTATGAATAGAAGGGGGCGGACAAACAATGGAGAGCCGTCTAATGCCTTCAAAATTCGAACGCCAAAACACAATAGTTTAGACGTAATAACACACAATACCTTAGGCGAGTGAACCCCATGACGCCTGTTTCTGTGGTCCAGCGCGAGCGCGACAATCCGCTGTGACTAGGTGTAATTAACAGCAGGATACATCAGCCAGAAGGTGCCCATTGTTTGTTGCGGTGATAGGATTATACTCCCGTGGCCACCTATCCTTTTGTTCACTAGCTTGGCACACGCAACAATTTATTCACATTACAAGCTGGCGTGTTGCCTCAATTACTACATTAAGTTACATTTTATATAAAATAATAGAACGAATCCGAAAAAGGATAATTATAGAAAGTCTTAATAAATAAATAGATAAATAAATAAATAAACAGGACCGCAGCCAGAGGGAGTTCGGGAGGTTCGAAAAACCCCCCTTTTGCTGAAAAAAGGCCCACTCTGGGTAAAATTTGACATAAGTGCATGGGGATTTTTTGGTAAAAGGTCCACTTTTTCAGAAAAAGACACTCCCCCTTTAAAATTGCTGGCTACGGGCTTGATAAATAAATAAATAAAAATATTATTTAAAGAATAAAGTAAATACTTAGGTAACATTAAGAATTAAATAAAAAAAAAATAGATAAAAATAAGATGGTTTAAATCATTAAATAAAATTAATAAATAATAAATAAATTATGATTTAATAATTGAATGAATAAATCGCTGTGAAGAAATAATCATTGTCGCAGCTAACGCGGTGAGTGTCAACCCATTATCAGGGCCATAACTTATAACTCCTTGATTCAACGTACTTTCATAAACATGTAGTGTGGCCACACTGTCAGCCACCCCCCTTGTTGCATGTTGCAAGCGATTTGTCTCATAACTATGACAAGGCGTTCTTTTTTCTTGTTGTTGTTTAAAAACGGACCGCTATGTCAAGGTTAATTGCTTAGCTCCCTGCGCGTCATATGTACTTAGCTCTTTGCGCGACCTATGTAAACGCTAAGATATGAATGTTATACCGGGTAGTTGATTGTTTTGCCCGGCCGCCGCACTTATGCTTTCTTACTAGAGCGATCTAGAACAAGTCGCTAGTTTGCCCTGTTTGTAACTCAAAGCAAAATATGTTCCACATGCCGTTTCTGCACGACAGCTGGAGACACAGTAATTATATAAGGCATGGTTTAAGCTTGTTCGAGAGATAATAACAGTCGCGTTTAACAAAAGATAGTAAGACCCCCTCCTCTTTAACTGATGTCTTACACTGTTAATATTGACCGCACTTTCATATATTATGTAATACACTGTCAGACTTTCCCCTGTTGCACGTTGGCGTTGGATTGCACTTGTGCCTCTGTCAATGCACCTCATTTAGTTTAAATATTTTTACCGCATAAACCTTTGTGGTTAAGAGTTATTAGTTTAGTAGTAGAAATAGGATGCTTGGACAAAAAGCTTCTAGTCAACTCGCTAAGACCTAGGGTGTGATGCTGCTATCATCCGAGGAAACAACTTCACTGAACCTTCTACCTGAAGTCCCCCTAGCTAAAACAAAAAATGCCCCTTGAACCGGTCCATTTTTAAAGCGACGAATCATTTTTGATATCATTGAGCGTTAAAGCGTAGGTTTATTCATCATGATCTATTTTGTAAACAATACTTGCCTAGATTTTACTTGGATTGATCATAGTCACTGTTTGGCTACTCGCCTATAATGCGTGCTGAATGACAGACAACTTATAAATATTATCTGTGTTACTGTGTTTATGACCACGTTAAGTTTAAATAGAACGGTATCGGTGATTTAATCCATCCAACATATTTATGTTTCTTCTTTTAAATCCAGTGTTAGGTTAACATCAAGTCAAAGCAAGCCTTGCAGATTGATTTTGTTTAAATTTACGTAAATTAAGTAAAGCTAAGTAAAGCCTGTTTCTAGTTCATCCACACTATAAAACTGCATGAAGGATAACAAGTCTCTGTAGCCAATTAACTTTCACAATGCCCTGTGCTTTAGAGTCCCATGTTTTACAATAAAATGAGTATGGCCTGAGAGAAATATAAATATGAGGCCGTGTATGAAGATGTATCAAATAATAAAAATCAAGAATTTAAACATGTTCGGTACATGCACATCACTTGATAAGTCATTTCACAAAAATGGCATCTAATTTTTCAGATAAACCCCCACTTTTATCGATCTCAACGCCTTGTCTGATGTTTACATACTCCAATATTAATTGCGAACAATATCAATAGCGACTCGAGATCGTTGCCTGTTTTTCACACTTTTACACAAACTCATGAAGGGTTAATAAAAGGATTCGCGTTGCGACATCTATCTCTTTCTTTCGAACAAGCAAATTAAGGGCTGACCCGAAGTAAGCTTTCATAACTAATTTCTATTTGACTGTACAGGGGTATATTGTAATTACTCCACTTGGTCGCCTCCATTGTCTTGTAACATTGACAAAGAATGTGTTTTCACACGCTAGTTTACATAACTCCTTTGCCTTGTGTCTTTATCAAGGTTATAATCAGTTTGAATAGGTTGTCTTGCCTCACTTAAAAAGGGAGTTGTTCTCCACACTGGTCGTTACCTAACTTATGCTACCCTACTTTGTACAAATATGGTTTTAATAAATCGCCAAAACTATGACACTAGTGAACATTGTGTATCAAACATTTTGATATGATTAAATAAATGTGCAAGAAGGATTACAGAATGAGTTACTATTTACCTCCCCCCATGCGCCCTTCAAAAAATGCTCTTTTGATTTCGAAATGAATTTGTTTTTAACGCAAAGAAGTCCAATACCCCTTTCACGACTCAGTCATTGTACAGCATGTTATATTACTCTTTACCCTTTTTATTTGACACTGTCTCTGTTTCTCTCCCCTTTTACTTTCTCTTGTTAGAAGGAGGGCAAATAATTAAGCATTCAAAATATGCATCACCAATCTTCAGAAAAGAATGAGTGAATGAACCATTGGGCTGGCCCACAACGTCCGACACAACAGAATAAATTAAATAACAGCTTTCACAGATTTAACTGCAGTTAGCTGTACAGCGTCACTATATACATAATCCGCTGCACGCGCGAAGCTGTTGAACAAAAGGATAGTTCTCTATGGAAGACCTTTTGTTTACATAAGTACTCTAAGGGGGCGTGCCTAACCAGGCGACAAGAGGATTAGGCTAGTCACTATATTCCGTCAAATTCGTTTAGCTACCCTATCATTATCACACTCCCTCTATTGTATTTTCTGACGTTATAATTGTATCTAATCTTCTTACGTTAGATGGAAAAAATGCACACATATATAATCTTATGACTGTAGTTGCTTGTTGGTTCAACTTGCGCCGTGGACACGTTGCTTTTCAATGTTTACAGCACTTTTGGTAGCACAATCGTCTTGCTATAAAGCATTGTGCGACTCGTCAGGGTGAGGTGTATGAGGTGATCACGCAGATTATGCCCAGAGACGACCGGCGTTACTTTTAGTTGACAAGCAGCGAGATCAATTTGCCCTGGGTTCACTTCAGTTGCCATGCGGGCACCAGTAGGGTATACTGGGAGCACTTAATATGTCTTTAGCAGTGGCTGTGTAGACTATTAATTATAACACTAATCATTAGATTATGTTTAATACTGCCTGCTGCAGTATGCAAGAAACAGTGTGTGTGTTGTGTGTGTGTGTGTGTGTGAGTGTGCGAGAGAGAGAGAGAGGGGGACAGGGGTGGGTGGGGGTGAGGAATGTCATCTAGCACCTACAATGAATGTCAGAATGTCAGATAGGTAGGGATAGTTAATGTTGTTAAACTAAACTAAAAAAACGAAATAATTTCATCCATGTTGTAGGTGTGCTTTGCATGTTCAGCCTGGTTGAACAATGTTCTCATGAGAATTTTTCTTTACTTGAATGCATGGTTAAGTCAACAAATGTAATGCATTTTAGAGAGAGATAGAGAGAGAGAGAGAGAATATTTGCTATAATATTTTAAGCTAAAGCCTTCTAGTCTGCACCTTAATATCTGGACATTAAACAAAACATACTATTTATTTATAATATCTTGTCAGATGTGGAAGCACTGGTCAATGTAGACACTATGGTAAGTATTCATTAAAGCAGTGGTTGGGGCCTCAATGGGTTTTCTTTGTGTCAAGGGACCTGGAACTTAAGGGCAGTGGTTTGTAAGGAGGCAGGGGTCCGTAAATAGGCAGGGATATGTAAGGAGGCTGGGATATGTAAGGAGGCAGGGGTCTGTAAGGAGGCAGGGGTCTGAAATGAGGCAGAGGTCTGTAAGGAGGCAGGGGTCGGTAAGTAGGCAGAGGTCAGTAAGGAGGCAGGGGTCCGTAAGAAGGCAGGGGTCCGTAAGAAGACAGGGCCTGAGGGGTATGTATGGAGGCTGGGGTATGTAAGGAGGCAGGGGTCTGTAAGGAGGCAGGGGTCTGTAAGAAGTCAGGGGTGTGTAAGGAGGCAGGGGTCTGTAAGGAGGCAGGGGTCTGTTAGGAGGCTAGGGTCCGTTAAGAGGCAGGGGTCCGTAAGGAGGCTTGGGGTCCGTAAGGAGGCTGGGGTCTGTAAGGAGGCAGGGGTATGTAAGGAGGCAGGGATGTGTAAGGAGGCAGGGGTGTGTAAGGAGGCAGGGGAGGGGAGAATGCAATCAAAAGTGTTTGCTTTCAGAAGAAAAGAATCTAACAGTATGCGTAGCTCAATCAGGTGTATTTTAAAGATTTTATTGTATATAGATATCATTAGTAGAAAAATGTAGGCTTGCACATCAACAGTTTGGTTGAGAAGAAAAATGGGCTTTTGATGGCTGATGATGGTTTGAAAGCTTATGTTGAAAATTTTTGGTTGTGGATTTATTGTTCATGTAATGCACAGTCTTTGTAATAGACACTCTGAGATTTCAAAAAGGTAACTTGACCTTGTAAATCCAGCTTGAATTAGCAGCTGTTAAGTTAGTACTTGGGAGTAAAAAGCAGTACTAATTTATATAGTAATTAATTTATAGTGTCATATATTTCAAACTTTCTAAAATTCTTGTATATTTAGTGGTGTCCATACTTTTTTGCACTCACTTGTGACCTTCACGTAACACTTATCCATGTCTACTTTAAATAATTCCACTGCCAGAAATCTGTTGATAAAATTATCTGATCTAGAAAGTATTCCACCTTTGTGTTAGTTAAATAAATTGCCATAGATACAGTGAATGTATTGTCTATTGTCACCATTGTGTGCATGCCCTGAGATGGAAACAGGTATGTGAATTTATGTGTAAAAAACCCAAAGGTTTCATTTTTTTGTATTTTTATTTATAGTCATTTTTGTCATTTAAATAGGTTTACCTTTTTCCATTATTTGGGAATGGTAAATTTAAGTTGTAAAAGGTCATAAGTTATTTTATTATCAGAAACACTGTATTTGACAATCGTCATCATTGTGTAAAACAAGGTTGCAGTGCTGACATCCCTATCTTGTCTGAAAAAGAAATTGATTTTTCTGTTTCTGCATAAAAGTATTCCTACAAATAAAGGTAATAGTTTACAAGATTTTGCATGTTGAGCGCCTTGGTAACTCCATGAAGCACAGTTCAAAACAATCAGAGATGATTTCTGAATCAGTAGCAAAATCTTTACTTTGTATGCACCAGTGGAAAGTATCATGTAGCTTCCATCACAGCCATAATTCTTGGTTTATCTTTTCCCTGTGCACATCCAGTTATTTTTGTCACATAATTATAGCACATTACAATGGTAGTGTGGTGTACATGCTTCTATATGTGAGGAGTGTGAAGAGGATTCAGTGGAGTCAGTGGGTGTCAGTTCACTCAGTTTATACCACAATTTATACCACATTGTGGGCACTGGTACCAAGTGTTACCTGTGATTTATGATGGTTTTTGTTTGAGGTTGGTGGGTGGCAGATCACACACTGTTATCCCTCAAGAGGTTGGTTTAAAATTGGTCAAATTTTGGTAAATTTTATAAAATATATGCTGCATTCCTCTGCACTAGTAAATAGTTGAGATCATAGTGATCAAGACAATGTTGTGTTATCAGAAATCAAAGCCTGTTGTTTTTTGGATGCACTTGTATTGAAGTACAATTTCTTTCATGGTTTTAGTGTTCTGTATATTAAAATGTTTTTTTTTTTACATTAATTATTCACATAAGAGGAGCAGTCCAAGGGTAAGTGGTGTCTTAGTGGAATTAAAATTTTATTTCTTGTACTTGTAATATTTTTGTGTTTATCAGCCTTATATTTTTTGCTCTTTAATTTTCAGGCATATACATAACAAGTTAGTTTAATCCTTGCTGAGTCGGAAGTTAAGCCTTCTAAAAATTTTACAAGTCCTTAGAATAATTTCTTCTTAATTCTGTATATATACAATCTACATTTTACTGCTGGGGCTGGAAATTACTAGTAACTGGTCTGAAGTTGAGGGTTTATGTAGCAGTGGTATGACACGTCTGCAATGTGTCCTCCATAGATAAATGTCTCTGTTGTCAACTGTAGCCCCACGTCACCAAATACAACACGGGGCTTATCATTTGTTCAGGATGTAGACTTTCAGATTAGTATTAGTGAAAATGAAACAGCTGTACACTGGAAGTATAGTGAGTCTTTGTTAACTTGGGTTTTATCAGAGTTTAAAACTTAATTAGGTCATTATCCAACTAAAAACTGAGGTTTATCAGGAATTTAATTGAAAGTTTTTTGGGTTGCTGAAGGTAATAAATGAAGTCTGTCTGGAGCTTAGTGTGGATTCTTGTAATGTGAAGATTGTGGAGACATTCTCACTACACAGGAGGAGGGAGGGGGGAATGTTTAGATATTACCATCTACCAGGGTCACTACCCAGTGGCGGATCCAGAGCTATTTACTGACAGTCTTCCAAATTATCTTTGTTGATTCATCCTCCAATTTTGACCGTCTTCCAACAGAAAAAATTGGATACCCGTCAATGTAAACTTGAAAATCTGACCTTCTTCAGGAAGACCCAGAAGACAGCCTAAATCCACCCCTGCTTCCAGTACATAATTTTGAACCAGATATTAAATATATTCACAAATATCACCCAGTCTCTGGTTAATTCATGACACAATTGAGCTACAGAAAATACACCTAAGTATTCTGTGTTCCTGATGGAGAGGGCAGAGAATACTCTGCTGTGTCACAACTGGAGCTAAGAACATGATGAAAATAACTGATGATCAAATGATAGAGATTACAGGTAGATAATTGAGCTGTAAGTGACTCATCACATTGTCAAACTCCTACACTATGTGTTAACATACAGAACAGCTTTGTACAATGTAATGAAAGAAAAGTATTGTTAGACACAAGGTGCTGTATACCAGTATATATATTAACTGTGAACATTCAGCAACCCAGATCATGCAAGTACTGCACATATGTAGTGGCTGACTTATTTATATTATTGCTGTTTAATTTATTTGACAGCTTGATCAGTAATGCTGGAAATTTATAAGCCGTCACACCAGTCAGACATTCACTGCAGCTTTTCATGCTCACTTTGGGCTTCTAACATCAAAAACTGCTTGAAAACTTGTGATATGGTTGAGTTACGAGGTTGAAACCATTTATCTTTTTAAGTATGATTTATTCATGAACTTTAAAGAAATAGTGCACGTCTGTGGTTGAAACATTAAAAGTTTATAGGATTTTTTCAAATTAGTGCAAATTCTGTCAATGAGCAGCACATTGGGGAATGTTTCTTTCACAGCATTTTTATTGTCCAGGCACAGAGTATATCGATGGAAATAAATCTTGAATATTTGTTAAGATGATTGTATATTTTCTGAAATTGTGTGTCAGATGAATGCATTCAATTTACATAAATAATGACCCTAATTAGTAGATAAATAGTGTGCTAGATATAAACAAGTAGGTTTTAACTTCAAACCACACAATTTTAATTAGGTATTAACATCGTGTAGATATGTTATGGAAACCTTTTGAATTTTCTGACAAATATTATTATATTTTCAGTGTTTCAACGGAGTCTCAAGTCCGTAAGCCTCGTGACCTTGACCTTCCAAAATGGTGCCCTCACTCTGGTGTCGCGCTATGCACGAACACGTCCTGGGAACATGTTCTTCTCTACGACAGCTGTGGTCATGGCTGAGCTTTTCAAGTGTGTCTCCTGTCTTTTTATTATTATGGGACAAGAGGGAGGCATTAGGCCGTGGGCGCGGCGTTTAAATGAAGATGTTTTCCAGCAACCATATGACTGTCTGAAGATCTCAGTGCCGGCAGTGGTATATGTGATACAGAACAACCTGCTCTATGTCGCTATATCTAATCTGGATGCAGGAACATTTCAGGTTCAGAATTTATTATCTTAAAGAAGTTTACAGAAGAAATTATTGGAATATTTAGTTGTAAATCAGATTTGCCAAGTACCTGTATTTTTTATATCTCTGGACACACAATACATTTTTAAAATAAATATGCCAACATTTAAAAGTTGGATAAGAAAAATTTGCGCTTAAGAAAAATAATTGAATTTCTTAGTTTTCTGTGTTTAATGACCCTTTGTAACGGTAGATTTTAAGAAAACGTGAACATTTAAACATATTTAATATATTCATATATGAAAAGAACAGAATAGTACACAAAAAGTAAATTTGTTGTTAATGAAAATTTATTACATATTTTTAAGTTGAACTTAGATTTGACCTATTTTCTTGTATTCTAGGTCACATACCAGCTGAAGATCCTGACCACAGCCGTATTCTCTGTGATCTTGTTGCAGAAGAAACTGTCCAAAATCCAGTGGGTTGCCTTGGTGATGCTATTCACAGGGGTTGCCTTTGTACAGTTCAAGCCAGAAAGCACCTCAGAAAAAGTTTCCACTGAGCAGAATCGATTGCTGGGGTTTGGAGCAGTGCTTCTGGCCTCAGCTCTTTCAGGTTTTGCTGGAGTTTATTTTGAAAAAGTTTTAAAAACGACAAAGCAGAGTTTGTGGCTGCGTAATGTCCAGCTGGGCTTCCTAGGCGTTGTCTTTGGGACGGTGACTATTTTCCTGTCGACGGATGGACAGAAAGTGAGAGACAAGGGGTTTTTCTTCGGTTACGATATGGTGGTGTGGGCAGTAGTATTTCTACAGTCATTTGGGGGACTTCTTGTAGCTGTGGTAGTGAAATATGCAGACAATATTCTGAAGGGGTTTGCTTGCTCTGCAGCCATTGTTTTTGCCTCCCTGGCTTCTGTGTACTTGTTTAACTTTCAGCTGAGTCTGCAGTTTGTGATTGGAGCTTGTCTTGTCTGTATCTCTGTGTTTATGTATGGTTACCAGCCCAAAGAGAAGACACAGTCAAATTTGCAAGCACAGGGGGAGAAAATATAACTATAATATATTACTTTAGGGAAAGAGAAAGAGAAAAGGTATGATTATGATGAATTACACTAGGTGGCAGCATTGTGCAGTACATTTTGACCAGTTATTTAAAACTAATACTGTTTTAGGTCTATTCATTGTTGACTTAGCACAAATAATTTACTATTCATTTAGTGAAAAGAAACTGTGAGTCCAAAGCAGTGCATAGAAAAAGCTTCTCAACAGGTCCCCATAGTCACACCACCAGTCTGTATAGATTGACCTAACTCTGCTGGGACTCTCACTCAGTGCAACCAGCTTAACCATACGACATGCCTCCTCATGTTTTCAACGTACGCATGTAATCACCAGCTTTTCTGTGTTCTACTTGACACCAGGTGGCATGTTAATCCGTTAAGCTGATTGTACTTAGTGAGAGCCCACGTAGAGTTGTTAATGAGAGTCTCAGATAATCACGTATTCATGTGAAAGCTACCAGGTTCACTTACTGTTGAGGAAAACAGTTAACGGATGTCATCTCATCTTTATAAGGGGTCATCAAGAGGAATATGTCAGTTTTTATGTAATAAAAAACAGCCACCTAGGAGAAACAATATGCAAATGTTTATATCCTTTGACTACTAAACTGGTGCCTGGCCACTCTGATCTTAGTCCAACAGCTGAAGCTTAACTGTGATGTGGTGTTTATGTCAGGACTTGGTCAGTATTACCATTAAAATCAAATAGAACTGCAAGATATATATATATTTATATATATAAAAGACTTATTGCCTTATCACAAAAGAATTATGTATGGATTATTTCTTACAAATGATGTAAGTATTGATGCAATAATTGTGTTGTATTGATTGCAAATCAGGGAATAGTTTTATTTGTTGCTGGTTGAATTTGAATCTTCAGTCAAATAATTATGTCAGTGCAACCAAAAGGCTTGGATATAATAAGTGCACAATGTCTCTGCAGTCCCAATGCCAGAGGTTTAAATAACACCTTGTTCAACAAATATTTGCTTAGCTATAAAAGTATTCACAGATCCTATTTCTATGTGTTAATTCTGGATTTTATATCTATCATCTACATTGTACCTGGTGTGGAGCAATTTTTTAAAATTATATAACGCAATTATGGAACATCTTGTGTTTGGATGTGGATAATTTCTTTAATAATTTGATTTTAATCTTGTTAAGTTCCCAAATATGTCTCATGATGGTTGAACCACACGCACATTAAACTATGTATGTAATACAAGACCACCAGAGACAATGTAACTACGCAAAACTAACAGCTGGCTGCTACTATTCATTTCCACGTTATTAGAATGGAATTAAGGATGGACACTTGCTTTACCTTCATGTCCTGAGACCTCAGGCAGGGGGGTGTTGGGGGGGGGGAGGGGGAAGCATTATATATTTTAGGTTGGTTACCAGCTTCTCCATTTTTCAGTCCCTGTGTTAAAACCCTAACCCAACTCTGCCATTTTCTGGAATTTGAGTTCAAGTTTACAGTGTCAATTACAAATAGCCAGGCCTCCGATGTGGTCAGTTAGGAAGAAATTGGGGTCACTCCCACAGAAAGTCCCTTGGTTACATGAACATATCCACTGCTCTATGATGGATACTTAGATCCATAACAGAAAAGTTTGGTACAATGTTTGGCAGATAAAAAGAACAGTTGTGATTGGTGCTGTGCACTCTACTCACATGTTGCCAACAGTCAACAGTTACATAAACCTGCAAATATGTAGACTGGAAAACAAAGAAGCTAACACTGTTGTAACACACATCAGGTGCAATGACTTTGGATTGGTGGTAAATTATTGTGTTTAGAAGTGTGTCTTGGTTATGGAGACTTGCCATAGTCATGAGATCTCTGAGGTAATGTTAAGTTTATTATTATTTGTTAGTTCTGCTTTGTGATAGTAAACAAATTCTTTCATTGCAAGCTGGATGATAAAAACAGCCGGCTGTAACAGTGGCTTCAAATTTAAACATTGGTGGCAGGAGTGGTATTTAGATACATTGTGATAAATTCGTGGTATTGGGATATTTAAAGAATAAGTTATGATAATAAATAATTACTGGTTTTTAAGGTATTCAGCTGAGTGAGGGTACCAGTGTGTTCATATACCCCATAGGGTCACTGTTCATATACCCCATAGGGTCACTGTTCATATACCCCATAGGGTCACAGCCTGCTGTAAATTATTTCTACTACAATTATTGACAACAGGCTTTGTTTCTGAGGGTACATGTTATTAAATTGATTTTGGTTTCAATACATTCCATTTATTTCTTGCTTGAATAAAGTACTTAATCTTGTGACATTGACTTTAATTCATTTCTCTTGTGCTGATAACTTGACAATGGTGAACAGTTCTGTGTTCTTAAAATAGGTAAAATCATTAATTAAGGTGTAAAAATAACTATAATGATCACACCCTTTCCTTTGGCTTTGTTGCAATTTTTGAAGATTTTTTTTTAAGTAGAAAATAATATCTGTGCCCATATTGCACGTTCAGTTTTCATAATATTATTCATTACTCACTTCATGTGGTTTTAGGATTCATTATCTATATTAGCCTATCAATTTATGTGAAGGTCAAGCCAAAGTTTAACTTTCATACAGGTGGTGCTTGGAAGAAACGATACTGGTTAGTAAACTGTTTGACTTTATTCATGATAAAATTGTACTAAATGAAATATAATCTAAATTTAAATATAATTTTTCACAAAACAAGTAATTCAGAAAATGTAACTTACACAATTTACTTGTGGATAAAATGATCTTGCAACAGCCTCCCTTTTCATACTACAGGTGCATTTGAACAAAAACACAATCATTATAACATCTTGGTTGAGACACACTAATAAAATGCTTCCCATCTCAACTACCACAATGTACCATTTCTCCTTGCAGATTTCTCTGCATCTTCTATGCAGATTAAATAGTCTAAGCCCTCTTTAATTGCTATAATACTTCACTTGCTTATCACCACTTTTCAACTGGTCTTTATAATCTGACAGCATCATGTTAACCCTAGACACCTTTCAATACAGCCAATTTTGTCCCTCACTGACTCCAACAGGTTGCATGACACCATGGAAAAATAAAAAGTGTTGAGATCCTTGCAATAAACCATGTGATCAACTAATCACATGATAGGGTTTTGGTGCATATCATTACCAGCAACAATAAAATATCCCTGTGGCAATGTTTATATCCCAATATTTACACCAAAATCAAGATTCAAACTCAGAAACATTCTGCAGAGTTACATTTGTAAGACTACACTGGAACTCCATGTCCTCCATAGGCTCCAGTCTGGAGGGTGTCTGGGGGGAGGAGGAGGGGGGGGGGTCACAAACACCCCTTGTCCTTCTCACCTCTGAATCATGTAAATGAATTCAAAATGATGGGCAGGGTGAACAGTTGAATCAATTCAAAATAATGCTGCATGTCTTGGAGATATCAGCACAAAAGAATCAAAGGATTAAAAATGCGAAGATTTAAATCACAAAGAACTCCCAATAAATGCCTGACATATGATGAATTATGTCCCAGAAACATTACTCTGAAGATTCATAAGATTCAAGAACAGGCCGCACGTCAAGTTTGCAATCATACACAGTGGTGACAGGTCATATTTTCCTGTTGACATGGGGAGTGACAGAGTCTGGGTCAATGACACACAGTGGTGACAGGTCATATCTTCCTGTTGACATGGGGAGTGACAGAGTCTGGGTCAATGAGAGATTCTTCTAACGGCGTATCTATGTTGTACTCATGCACGTGCTGTGGACGTCTGAGTTTCTTGCCGCGCTGAGGTATGGGTAGCTCAGAGTGGTGTGCTGGTAGTGGCTCCATGAAGAAGTACGGGTGGAGGAGGGCCTGGAAGTGAGAATAGTTACACCTGGGATTTACTGACCATTACACTCTCATATTGAGCACATATTATTACCACCAGGGGTGGACCCAGATATATTCTGTGACAGGCTTCAAAATTATCTCTGTTGATCCATCCCCCATTTTGACCATCTCTCGACAGTGAAGATTAGATGCCCATCAATGTGAACTTGACTACTACCTTGTGCTATGCTATCAGAAGAGCAGGGAACACATTCTACATTCTTTCTCCCAATTGATAACAATTTATTTTGACAACATTTTTGTCAATAAAATTATAATTATAATAACAGATAAAGATCTCTTATTCAGTTACACTCGGGAGTAACTGATGGCTGAGACTGTAATAATGAGAAATTACAAAGTACCAGAAGTTACTTCCCTTTTAAATTGTGGTCTCCAGAGATAAAAATCATTTTGCCAATGTTTTTCTTACTTAAATTATAATAACAGAGTCTGACAAAGTTACAGCTGAATTAGATAAATTATCTATAAGTCAATGATACCACATTCAATCTCACCTCTTTTGCAGAAATTCTCTCCTTAGATGGATAAACGAGAAATCGTTTAAGGAGATCGAGAGCTATAGCTGAACTGTCAGGAAGGATCAGCTCAAATGGAATGGGTGGGTTCTCAGGGAATGTTATCTTGTTGTAGTCAGGAAGCTCTGACATGCCCTAAAAATATGTTTTCTCAAGTAAGCAATTCAGTAATAAAAGCACACAAAGTGCATCAGACCTTTATATTCCAAAAAATAATAAAAAATCCCAGAAATTCTAATACTTTCTCCCCAGTCACCAACTTGAAGGTATACCATTATGACCAATAAAATCATAATACAATATTAATAATCACAGAATCCATTATTTAAGCAGAGCTGGCAGCCCTGTCTGCATGCCAGACCTGTCCTTGAAGGTTTATCTTTTGAACAATCTATTTCCAGTGTACATTTCTGTCACTTGGTAGTAGCATGACTTTTTACTAAGACCAAAACTGATGACTTAATTGGCTATAACAAGTGTAAATAACCTGCGCCTAATTTTAATGGAATTAGAATAGAAAAAAATTAATATGCTCATTAAAACATTGCATTTTAAAAAATCAAGAACAAAAATAAACCTCATCTAACAACCCTGATTACAGACACTCCCTGTTGCTAACCAACTTATGATGTTATATAATTAATATAATCATATGTGTACTTTTAGAATTAAGTTAACCAACTACTCACTGGCCAGGTAGCTTCAGTTGGTGTTCCTAACACTCTCAACACACAGCACAACTGTTCTATGTCATTCTCCCCCTGGAAATAGTGATCATAATTATTTTAATACATATCAATTATTGTATCAAGTGCAAAATTTATCAAAAAAAAATCTGTCTTTTGTGATTAAAATTTTGAGATAGTTCTCAGTGATTTTCAATGATGTCAACAAGTAAAGGTAAATTTGTCTGATGAAACCCAAATTTACTATGATCATCTCTCAGTAGCATGAGCTTCCACGAAAAGGACTTGATAAAGAAAAAAAAAAGAGACTTAAATGTACAACACAAAAGAATTCTTAATCAATATGTCTATTCATATCTACATGTGACATTCCCTTTTATTTGAAAGATACTATGGAAATGAGAGAGAGAAAGAGTGAGAGAGAGCATGATGTAAGTCTTACTGGAAAAAGTGGTGAGTTATTCAGCAGCTCTCCAAGTATGCATCCCACCGCCCTGAAAACACACAATAAACTCCATGAACATTTTATACTTTTTTCCAAAACAAGTCAAAAATCAATGTCATGATTTAATAGGCAAATGCAGTAGTAGGCTGTGAATAAATATTCCCTGTCTGCAAACACATTAAAATTTTCAGTACAAAACTATTAATTTTTGTTTTAGTTTTCATTTATATTAATCATTCCTCCCCTTCCCTTCCTTATTCACACACACACTGTTCCTCATTGTGTGTACTGTCTGGCAGACACTGAGCTACATTTTACTACTCCATCTATCTCATCTATCCTGTGCACAAATAGCAATAAAAATGAAATCAAAAGCCATTAAATGCCATACACTAAAACAAATGCAGCATGAATTCTGTCTCCTTTTGCCACAGTGAGGCAGGTCACTTGGGATTACTTCCTCAATGTCCAATAGGTAAAATCAATAGAGAAGGAAAGAATCAAAGACAACAGACATTTTCTCCAGGGAAGTCTTTTAACATTGAACAAACAGTGGCAAAATGTTATGTGAACAATCAAACCATTGTTCCAAAGGTTCACAAACCTTTTCTTCACTTGCTTTCTCCTACAGTACATAGACACTGATTCTGTTCTATTGTTTTTCTCCCTATTTCACTCACATTAATGAAGACTGTGTTAATACTGTCTCTGCAGTTTTAATCACGGGTGTTAAAGGTAGTTAGTCATGTGGAGATTGATAAAACACGACCGTAACACCAATAATACCACCCCTAACACTGGAACATACTGACATTTACCAACTTTGATTCCAGAAAAGATTACAAACTAGGCAGCTATTTCAATGTGCCATGAGGGCAGTTTTCATTACAGCAAATAAAACAAACCACTTCTAGTTGAAAAGAGAGTTAAAATTCTGGCCTACTGAAATACACTGGTAAATGTATGCTATCTATTTGAATATGTATGCATTTATTATATGCAGTTTGACAATTTTCATCACTATAACAAATGCAGTGACATTATTAAAATATTATGAAAATTTTCATAAGAAGAATTCTTAATTCAATACATATAAATAAATAAATAAATAAATAAATAAATAAATCCATTAATTATTGATTCAAGCAAAGTCTAAACCATTGCTGTATTTAATGCTTTATTTATTCTTTAATACCTTGAAATGTTAAAATCTATCTATTTAAAGTAAAAATGCTCTGAAACTGAAAATATCCCAAAGACACTCATAAAGTTTGGAGAATTACAATAACATAAAGATAATACTACTAAAAAAAAGAAATATATGCCTCCCTAATGCTATCATTAATGTTAGTATAAGTGTGTAACTTAATCAGAGAAAAGATCAAAGTAACTGCCTATGCATTTCTAGTATTATTATTATAATAGTTTAGTACACAGTACAAACATGATGCATTTTAATGTAAACTCTACACAAATCATTCTTTTTCTCCATTTTTTTACATATTAAACAAACCACTGATATTAATCAATTTCCTCCTTTGTTTAAATCAGAATATCTCTGCATGTCTTTAATATTAATATATTCATCAAGGACCCAGAGATATGTAAATCTTCACCAACAATCAGGGGACAGGCAGTATTTTAATTATATAACATGCATACACAAGAAGATAAAAACTTGCCTACAGTCATAGTAAAGTATATAAATCCTATCCTGAGGCTAATACTACATAACTCATCTACCCAGCTGCAGAGGAAGACTTGAAAGTATGTTTTATGAGAGACAAGTGGCAGCTAGTGAGCTATGAGAGCCTATAATAACGCAGTGTTGTCTGGTCACATGATGTTCATTAATAAGCTCTTCCAGTGAGATAACAGCTTTCTGTGACTGTCTCATATCGTACCACGTAGAAACACAGGACTGAAACTGTAGCAGCACAACCAGGACACATTGCAGGAGAGAGAACAGGAAACATGGACATTAAAACAACCAAGAAAACTCCAAGACTGTCATTTTGAGAGTGGAGCAGGGGAAATGTCACAGTAAACAAAGTAAGTACCGGTAGTTGGCTTGAGAAGAGGGACAGTTTCCTCTGCAAATGACAGAAATTAATACTTTTAAAAAATTTAATGGATAAAATCATATAAACAATATCCTGTTATTATATGTTTTTTTTTTTTAAATAAAACATACTTTCCAAAAGACAAATGAAATATAGAGATTATTTGCAGTGCCCAACGGGTGACGCTGTACTGACATTTTTTGGGAAAAAAATACTGTTTTCAGTTTTGGAATTTTCTCTATAACCAAGGCAGCTAGTAATTCAAATGACATCATAAAGCTGGTTAAAATCACTACTGAAGGATACCAGGGAATTCACTTAAACTATCTCTTTTTTATTTCATCGTCTTTTATGTTAAATTACCCCACATTTCAATTGGTTATTCACTTTAAAAGATGATAACTTTCCAACAAACAATTTCCTCCAGAATCCCTGATATCCATCTGTAGTCCACATAATTCACAACAATTAGTGTAATTTTCATAGCGATCGGTTGCTAAGATAGGGACATATACCTGAAGCTGGCCCACTTATCTCATCAATCTGGAAAGCTGTTTTAACGGCCAAAAACATTCACAGGCTGGTTAACAAGCTTTTTAGTCAAATATTTAGATGAGAAAATTATCTGTTATCAGTTGTACAATCAAATGGAACCAATGCTCATTGTCATCTTTTGATACTTTGTTTGGGTGCTTTGAAATGCCAGAAAATATATGTTATGTTGTCCCTTCATGAAATATATGCAAAAAGGGAAATTAACCTTTGTAACATATTAAACAGGTTGTCTCTCCCTTCTTTAAAAACTGGAATGTAAGAAAACAGAATTTTGGAGAAGTTGAGTATCTTAAAATTGCCAAATGAAGAAATATGGAAAATGTTAAGAGATGGAGCATCTCAATTACATACAATAAATACCCTGATGCATAAAGCGATAATTTTCCCATCAACAGTTAAACTGTTAATGTAAGTGTTAAAACTGCAGTTAATCTCAGACTAATATTTCAATGTTTATCTTTGTTTATATATAGCATCAGATATCAAAATAGTGGTAGTAAGGAACAATTTTTATAGTTTCTGTTGGCTGAAGAAAAAATTGGTGCTTCATTCTCAGTACATGACACTGCTGATGCAATTTTTTTTTATCTTGATGTAAGTTACACATCCAGATTTGAAGTAGGTAAAATATACAACATAAATTCTGAAGGTAAATAATATTTTTTAATATGTGAATCAACACTTTCACTTTTCACTTTCTTCCTGTGTGTTATTCATTACAGCATGCACATGCTGAGACAACCATATCTAAAAGCCATCTTTTTCCCTTAATAATTTCATTTAGATGTAAATGTGATACACAAACCTTCACTGTAATTAGATTTATCTATCCAGCAAGTAATATTCCATTAAAAATTATATCATTTCAGTTTTCCCCAATCTATAAATTTCACAGAGCAAACAAGTCTGTCATGACACCTTTTCTTGTGCAGATATAAATCCAGAATTAGCATTTTAACCTATCAAAGTTGTGGCAATATTTTAGCATTTTTCTTCCTATCACACAGATAGTCAGGTGAGAAAACTAATCAGAATTATCTGACATTAAACCATAATTACACAGTCTGGAAGCCTATTTTGGTTTATCCTATTTGATGTCTGCTGGAGTAGAAGTATAAATCATACCACAGCAAGTGTAACAAGCTGCCAATGATTCCACCATCATTATTATAATATAGCATGTATTAATATTTTAATATTGAAATATGATAATATACCCAGAACTGCCTGCAAATAACAAACTGAATGTCAACACTGACATCTATACCATTAAGAATATTTCCAAGTTTATAATATTTTAAAAATATAGAGTACGGTAGGATATTTTTGTGTTAAAAAAAGAGTATGGATGTGCATGATGGTTGGTAATCCTGTAAGCATAAAATACATCACTGAACAACAACTCTTTCAATTCCTCATTAATGAATTCCATTTCATAACACTATATCAAAACTTTACAGCTGCCAGGCTTATACATATACTGTATTTCAATACCCATAAAATTTTACCTGGCAGTTCTTGGTGGTATCTGGTAATAAAAAAGAGATCATGAATATTCCATATTAGATCTGTTAGCTAGGCAGTATATATTTTGAGCTTCAGATGCTCATCGGTAATCCTGATGTGTACTTAGACTGGGTACATATTTTCCATTATCAACTTGGGACCTCTGACCTTCCAAGGACTTGTAATTCAACAGTCTCTCATTCATAACAACAAAACCACCAGATTTTTTGACAACATGAAGGTTTTCATCACAACTGTTTAATCGATATATTATTTATGCAAATTGGTAGATGGTGTTATTTATGATTACATCTTTTACAAGGTGTCATTAGTTGTCCAACACATTGTGCAGGCTACATATTTCATTATGGGGATGTGCAACAGTGAGGTAATTAAGAACATATCTTTGTCAATCTTTATTCTAAATTGTCCCAGAGTTAAGTTTGATGGTATATTTAAACTGTTTTTTATTTTTGAAAATGACAGTGAAGAGATTGAATACAGTTTAAACAATGTGATGGCATACATACATAATCTTGCTTGCAAAAAAAAAAAGGAATTAACATAATCACTCATATCTGGTGGGCTATTTTCAACTCTTCAGCTTCATCACACTTATAAATGGCAGTTTCTAGTACAAAATGGCTGTACTGGTAGTTGATGAAGTATCTTAGAATAAGATCTTCACAAGGTCACACAGTCCATAAATAACCAACCAAACAGCGCCAGTTGACAAGGCAGATCCCAGGACACTTTTCCCTCCCCCCTTCCATCCCCCCCCCCCAAAAAAAAAATGAAATCTGCATTGATCTCTCCCCCTCCCCACCAAGAAAAAAATTTGTCCCTTTAAATAATATGCTTTATGTTTGAACTGCCCTGCTACTGACAAGATATTCAGCTAAAGACAGAGAAACTGACTAAAGTAAGATATAAAATAAAAGACAATAAGACATAAAATACACCTAAATGTCAACAACAGTGTTGGCAAGTTTCCAAAATGCACAGATTTAATAATGTTTATGTGTTTCAAAATACTGCCAATGTAACATATAATATATGATCTTCTATCCAGTCTTTAGTTGTGTCAATACTTTCCAGTTAATTATAATGCATTACAGTTTTGAATATTACATACATGCCCATGTTGTTGTTTTTGTTTAATAGTTTTTAGTCAGTTAAACACTCTCACATATACACTGTTAGACCATCTTCAATCTCATACATTCTAATATTCTGTTTTTTTCTTTGTGTCTTCAGAAACAAGACTTAACCAATGGCAAATCCAATGGCTTTCTACTGGTACTTACAAATATGCATCAAGTGACCAGGAAAGGAAATTATACTCACACCACTGAGGGATCTTCATAGGAGACCTACACCCACCCGCTTAAACCCACCACAGTACTATATCAGACACCCACACCCACCCACTTATATACACTGCAGTGCTATCTCAGACACCCACACCCACCCACTTATATACACTGTAGTGCTATCTCAGACACCCACACCCACCCACTTATATACACTGTAGTGCTATCTCAGACACCCACCCACTTATATACACTGTAGTACTATATCAGACACCCACACCCACCCGCTTATATACACTGTAGTGCTATTTTGTGTACCCAGATACACCCACTGTATCACTATCACCATGAGTACCAAAGAATCATCTCTTAGCACCAAAATCCACCAAATATTCAGACGGTACAAAGTGGCCATATTGCAAAGCTGTTCCCCAATTCCAGTGCTAATGGTTGGACTTATGCTGCTTTTTAACTTGTTTGTAATCTCTAACATAAGTCATGATTCTTGGAGTGCCCAAAGGAAGAGCCATTTGCCAACCCACAAAACGGGAATATCACAGCACCAAACTTGGAAACCAAACATGCAAGACGATAAGGATATCAAGACAAATGTATTCAGCGCAGGAAGGGCCAACAAGGCTCCTAGTTTTTTCACAAAAATTAACAATCTGGTTCTTGTAGAAGGTTTATCTGTTGAGAATCAAGACAGACACATAGAAAACAGGGTAAATGCACAGTCAATTGTATATAACAATGGAAAGATGGCACGCAAACATAGAATTATTGGCCCAAACTATTATGATTATGATGATCCTGACTTAGAGCAAGGAGCCGGAAATAGACAAGGTGAGATTGAAAGTTCAAGTAAAGGCCAGGCATGGCTGAAGTGTAAGGAGAATCCGAACATATGTCCTCAAGAATTCCAAAAATGGTACAAATCTATGACGCCTCTATGTGGAGTGAACTTCATTGCCTTTGACAGAAACTTTGCCTTATGTCAGAACATCACTCTCAATCGACAGAAAGCTATTGGACAAAAAGGAGGAGAAAGTATCACAGAAGTGTTAAATCAGAAGGAGGCTGTAGAGTTTTACAAGTACAAGTTTGGATTTTATCATGTCAGGAACTGCCAAAAAACACCCAAGTATGTGTTTACTAAATACCACGGAAAGGGTCACCTCAAGGATTGGATAGAATCAGTGTCAATCAAAAAAAATCATCCCAATCCACAGCTGACAACAGTCAATCAGAATTTCACCATAGCTGTGACGAGGTACGAATATGTTAACTGGTACCATTCAATGACAGACTTCTACAATGCATTCCTAATGATGAAATTCTTTAGAAAACAACCTGATGAGATCAGTGTGTTACTTATTGACGCTCATCCTCAAGGTAACCTGGACGAGGTTTGGGCGACATTGTTTGGTAATTCTAAACGGCTGAGTGAGACGGACAGACTGGTGACCTACAGAGAAATGATCTGGAATCCAATGGGTTATAACAGCATGATGAATCAACACGTACGCAAAACAATCCCACTTATTGATGAGTTCAGAGAGTTTTTTCTTAAAAGATATCGCGTGTCTACAAGCAAAAAACTCAACTGTGACAAACTTGACATTCTGTTCATATGGCGTCATGACTACGTAGCTCACCCACGCAACCCGTCAGGGTCCATCCTGCGTAAAATTTATAACGAAGATGAGATCATTTCCGCAGTGAAGTCAGAGTTCCCAGCCTTCAATGTCCAGGGAATACAGATGGACCAGTTAAAACTGAAAGACCAGCTTGAACTCGTAGCTAAGACAGATATACTCGTAGGAATGCACGGCGCAGGGTTAACCCACACGCTATTCCTGCCCAAACACGGAGGCCTCATTGAAATATTTCCACAATATTCAAATGTGATGGGACATTTTAGATCTCTGAGTAATTGGAGAGGCATCCATTATGCATTCTGGAAAAACAGTGATGTAACTCTGGAACATCGGAATCATTTCACAGAGATTCCAACTGCTGTGGTTATTAAACAGATTCAGGACATGGCTAAAAGAATAGCTACTAACAGCTGCTGACATCTATCAGTGAAGTGCTGATGATACTATTAAACTGGTTTCTTATATCTGCTAGAAACCTTTAGCTAATTATACTTTTGTGGTGAAAAATTTGAGGATAAATATCAATCAACAATGCAACATGATTTTATATATATATATATTTATATTTTTTTGTTTGTTTGTTTTTCTTTGCAGTTCTGCTTTAAATGTATCATTTTATGTTGATAAAAACATTATTTCATTATTTTTATTATAAAAATGGGTAAACAAACCAATTAGGGTTATTTGCAAACTTCTTTGAAAATTATCAAAATATACAACAATTTTTTTTTTTAGTCTTTATAAATTATCCATTCTGATATTCTTATTCATGCACTGCAAGAATTTTTTTTTAACATAATTTCACTCATTTTGATCTGGACCAATTTCAGAACATATTTGATTTAATTCACACACATTCCAGCACTTGGTTAGACAAAACATGATGAGAAGTAAAAGGGGAATTGTACAGCTGTTTAGAAGTTGTCCTAGTGACTAAATGACAAGGCATCAGTGCAATAAATGATACTAAGTTCTTTCTCTTGTTTTTATAATTTAATAGATAGACAATATTGATATGAATTTCTCTACACTTTGTCAACCAGTGTTTTGCAGCTTTGTTAAATGTCAAGTTATAGTTATCTTTAAGCTACTTTATTTCAGCAGAAGTTCAAATTCACAGTGCCACTGCAAAGTATTTGCTGAATAAACACATATTTCTGTTAACTTCAAACAAAGAGTTTACACAGTCATATGTCCCTTCAACCTTAAAATTGAGGTCAAAGTTTCAGTATATTTAGCGAAAATGTTACCAAAATAACTCTGGAACAAGTACATCATTTTTTATGATTTGCATTTGATCAACTATCTCACAGCAAGATAAAAAAAGTTGTACACTTTCGTGATAAATATTTGATGAAATCCAAAATATATTAATCCTTTAAGATGATGCAAAGAGTAAAAGACAAAAAGAATATTTGAAATACCAGCACATCAGACAAGATCCTGTGAACATGAATCAGATATTGGGTCCCGTGTGCCCATGTTATACAACGCTGCCAGTTACACAGAGGTTTGAAAACTTCCAACATGTAATATCTTGGTCCTAATTTCTGAAAGCCAATACTGGAGTTTCCCTCTCCCCACCACCTCCCCTTGCCGTAATTGCTCTCTACAATCTCACATACTTAAACATTATATTTTAGTATATTTTTATCTATTGCACTGAATCAAGGTCTAAGGAAATGAAACCTAATTAGCTGTACTATTGCACAGATAAATATGGAAAGCTATGTAAATGTCACACTGAGCAAAATAAATCTCACTTCTGCACAATTTTACAGGTCCTTACCTAACCCTACATCATATAAACACAGAAATCCAATGTCAACTAAAATTATTTGATAAATCACTATTAAAAACATTTTTCCCTAGCAGGAGTTTTAAGTGTCTAATAGGCAATGAAAGATCTCCTTTTAAACAGTTATCCTCATACTTAAATGTTAATTTCTAACCCACTTTTAAATAAAAAAGTATAAAAGGTATAAAGGGCATTCTCTAATATTAAATTAAAAAATTCTTCCTACTTCAAAGTATCAATTAAAATAAATGCAAGCACAACAACAAAATGACCATTTCTAGAAACCAAATTTCAACAGAATTCCATAACATAACAGAGAAATAGATGAAATGAGAAATTTCACAATAAAGAAAACATAATTTGAAGACTGTTGCAGTAACTGAGTAAAAAACAATGAAAAATTTTTTGAGACAGTGGCCTAAAATGTGTTAGTTGTGCTGAACACAATGAGAACATCCTCAGCAGTGAGCTGTAATGATGAAGGAGTACGCTGTAAACAGAAGACAGCAAACTTACCATAAATCTACACCTTCATCATATTTCCTGGCACCATACAGTAACTCTGGGGCACGGTACCATCTAAATAAAAACACAACAGTCATTAATTTAATTTAAATAGTATATTTCACACGTGTTTAGCAAACTGAGAATAACTCTTTATTCTCTCATGCATTTTTCTCAACAAGCTTTAACATACCACATTATTCTGTGACTACAAATAATACTGAAGACATTTACTTCAATCTAAAATTGTTCTTATTGAAGAAATATCATGAATGGATAAAAAATAAAATCCTCAATTTTTTATCAACAAGCTGCACAGACAGCAAGTGTCAGATATTTTTGGTTTTTAAGAAATCTAGACAAGATGGCGCGTACCTGGTAGCCACCTGGTGGCTGTATTGTCGGTTGCCTTCGTTCTGAAACACTCTGGCCAGACCAAAGTCTGCTATCTTCAAGTGACCCGTAGAACTGATGAGAAGATTGGCTGGCTTTAAGTCCTTAAATTGAAGAAAGAAATAATAAAAAAAATAAATTTTTGGATTTGATGCAGCTGCAATGCAGTAAAGATGTAACCTTATAAATAAGGAAAATTGTGAATTTTACAGATCTTTTTTCAATTGTAGATTATTAGAACAAGAACATAACTATTAAGTAGCATCAACAAAATTGGAAAAAAGCCCACCTTACAGTTTATATTCTTAATGGCGCAAAAATTGTGCATTTGAAGGATTGATAATTTTCACAACTGAGTCATAACAATAATTCATGCTTGAAATTAAATAAAATATATCAAACAGAAAAATGTCTTTGCTAAAGAATGAATTCAACCTCTATGCATATCATGTTTTGAGGTTAACTATCTTATCACCTCCGTACCCTGTGCATGATATTATTGTTATGGCAGAAAGCCACACCCTTCAGCAGCATCAGCATGTAGCTTTTGATGTGAGCCTCTGTCAATGGGGTGTTGGTATTCCTGATCACCTCAGACAAGTCTGACAACATGAACTCAAATACTAGAACAAAACCAGAGCCGTACGGGAATACCTCACGCAGGTTTACCACCTAGAAAAATAAGGGGAATTTTTGGAGATTAATTTTAAATAATAAT